GTAGATGAATATGAAAAATCATTAAAAGATATATTTATTAAAATTGCATCGTGATTACCTCTAATGAGTCATCTCGATATCCCGTTATCCCTTCATCAATAGATAATAGAAAGAGATTCAGCCCATATTGATATCTTTCGTTCAATAATTTCATAACATATGCTAATACCGTTGAATCTAGTGGATAAAAATTAAGACCGATATAAGTAAAAAAAAAAAAATTAACCAAAAATCAAAGGCCTCACGTTGATTCACGTTGATTAATGACACGCAATCAATTATTGACCACCTTTCCCCCCAGAAGCTGCGATAGCAACTTTGTCATTTTTATTGAATAATTTGTTGTCGGTGATAGTATTATGTATCTCTGTTTCAAATACACAGTAAAAACACTCTCGGCAAACTTGTTGCCCTGTTTTAGGTCTTTTTATGATCGCTCGTTCTTTATTACAAATTACACATGTTCGAGTCATAATTGCCAAGGAAAAAAAAATCGTAATGGGCGTTAAGTTTTCCGAAATTACGCATATATACCTATTACGCAGCCGATCACAACTTTGACTACAAACTTACTCTGCGAGCTAAAAACCCTTTCTCCCATGTCTACCTCATCCATAAGAGAAAAAGAAAAACGCTCTCATTCCACTCGATATGAAAGCTCTTTGAATGATAACCCGAATAGAAAAGCCAAGGATCATGAAATTAGGAGTAAAATCCATGTGAAAGAGAAATCAAACAAAAAACATAGTCGCTATCACCCTTTTCACGGATCTCGCAAGAGTAAAGGACATGATACTTCTAATTTTTACAAGAGATCAAAAAGTTCAGATAATTTCTCGACGGGATGCTCTGAAAGCTTCTTTAATTTTCAATATACAGAGGTTCACAACGAAGTCGATGAAGAACAAGAATTTACGTCCTATGACTATGCCGAATACATTTCTGCGAATACTCTTAATGAAAAGTCGTGGCTAGAACATCTTTTTGAGGTGATGGCTGAGGATGATGAAGATTTTTCGTCGACGTTTTATGCAGAAAGTGACTTACACGGAGTGAACGACATGTCAGAAGAAGATTATGCCAATTACATTCGCAAGGGGATGTATGAGAAGCAGCATGAACAAGAGTTGAAGGAACAAAGAAAACGAGAAGAAAAGCTTAGGAAGAAGGAAGAAGAGAAAAAAAGAATGATGGATAGGCTAAGAGCGGAAGAAAAGGAACGTGAAATACGTGAACAAGAAAAGAAGACTCATCTCAAGCGTGAAAAACGCGCTTTATACTTGACTCGTTGGAATCAATTTGACGTTAAAGGGAACTCAATAATTGAGTTTAAAGATATTCCATGGCCCGTTGATGATATAACACAATTGACGCGACAAAGTATCGAAGAGTTTTTGTTATCAGGAATCAAAAGCGATTCTGAAGTAAGGTCCATACTACGTCGTGAGCAGATACGTTTTCATCCGGACCGGTGGCATCGATTTGTTAAGCGAATTCCGACAGACAAGCAATGGAAAAAAATTATGAATACAGTCACGGAAGTTTCTCGCATGCTAAATGTATTGATAGAAGAAAAGGCGTGAACTCTGCATACAGTCTTAAGTTCATTTTGGAAAAGAAAAAATTTTGCAAAGTTTTTTTTTTTATGAAACCTAATTATTAATTATAAATTAATTTTAAATTAATGATAGTTTAAAACAACTAGCCAATCATATTTCGAACACGACACTACGTAGTAATATTTGTTGCATATTCGAATAGATGTTTGATCTTGAACTTAATATTTCGAGAATCACTTTCGACCGCTAATTTTTGTAAAAATGTCACATCATCCCGCTTATACTATGGGCGCAATATGTATGTAGAGTAGAGATTTAAAAAAGCAGTTCTTTTAATTGATTCCCTTTGTTTCATGCAGGCGCAGCTGGGGGCATTTACGGTTATGTTTCAAGACGTTCGGTGCCCTCTCTGGTAGCAGGTTTGGGAATTGGTGTCTTATATGGCATCGGAGGGTAAGTACAGCAGTTACTAGGCGCCCATGCTAAACAAGGTACTCAACTCATCGACCTAATTATATTGCAAGACTATTGATACAACAGAATAAAGAGTATGGTCACGAAACTTCGCTAGGTATTCTCGAGATAATTTTAGCAAGACGAATTAATGAGATTTCTCGTTAACATCACTCTTATCTTCACCACGATAAGTTGCATCAACCATATTAGCAGGCAGTATGATTCCCCGTACTATTAAACATGGTACGCCGATTCCATTGTCGTTAAGTGTTTTGTCGGTCGGCATGGCTACATATTATGGGAAAAAAATATATGAATATCGATACGGCGTATGATCTCTGAAAATTTTTATAACAAAGTTATAAAGTCGCATATGCACCTTCTTAAACTGACTACATTAAAGTGTACAATTATGTAGTTTACAATATAACCATAAATAAATAATATGAGTGGATAACGGCAATGAATGAAAGGACCTAATTTTTTAAAAGATAATTGCCAAAAATCTCTTATTCATGGCAATTCAAAAAAAAAGTATTGGACTTAAATTCTTGACTTTCAATAGTAACCAAAAAAATTACAGTATATTTATTAATATACATGCAACAAATTAATATTTTTAACTTAAATGGATCCGCACAAAGAAATTCCACCCCTTTTCTAAGTTCCTCAAGTGGTGAAAAGACTCCCTAAGGTGGAAGCTGAGGTCTTTTAGTTTTTCTTGGACTATCCCAATCTGGTACATGCTTAAATGAAAACTCATCTGATATTACAAGTGGTGACAAAGAAAATTTCTTCCGAGGTCCAAATGAAGCAAAGAAGAATATTCCAATCAGGCAAAACCCCTTTTGAGAAGAGGCTGTGAAATGAAAAAGAATCTTTTGGAGGGTTTTGAATTGTTTTTCATTTTTCCCCTTCCCCAGTTCAACTTCAGCAATTCATTATTTTTCGGGATAATTGATAGTAACAAACTATTGGCAATGACCCTGGTTGACTTAGAGGTATTATGCCAAGCTACTAGGAGAGCATAATATTGTCTCCTAAATCTAACTTAGAGTACCTAGTTGAGACTTAGTTTTGTTTAGTCTGAACTAGCTTAATGGACTCCTTATATTTTTTAAATAGTGTAATCCTTCAACTAATAATATACAAAAACAAGTTAATCATTATGTGAGAAGGTTTACAGATTATTTTGATATTTTTTCAAGTATCCTAATAAAGACAAATCATTTTGACATGATTGAGAATTAAAAAAAAAAATAAATAAAAATAAAAATTTAAAATCTATTATAAGTTATTAGTTAATTGAATATAAAAATTATTATTCAAAGCAAATTAGGACTAATTATATTCTTAGAAACAAAGATTGTTAGTAGATGATAAGTCATCTTAAATAATATATAAAAAAGAAATTAAGATTAAGAATAAATAAATTTTTTAGATAATTTGAAAAGAATGAAATATTTCAATAAAGATATTAATTTATTAAAAAAAAAAGTTTCAAAAGCATTGAATCTTTTGAAGGATGTTGAAAATTTTTTTAGTTTATTTTTTTTTCTTTTTCTTATAAGCATATCTATACAATTTTATATATCACTTTCTATTCTTTCTTTTTCCTTTTATGATTTTTCATTTTGTTTAATTATATAGAGAACAATTGGCTTTAATAATTGATGATAATAAAGAAAGTAATTGAAAGAATGTCTATTCGAAGTACTCGTGAAGTATCATATTTTTCTTAAGATCAAACTTAAAAATTTGAACTTAAGATGAGTTTGTTAATAGATGAATTGTTTAGCTTAGATCCTATATGTATACAAACTCAATGAACATAATAAATACACGCTACTGACCTGGTTTAACGGATTATTGCAAAAAAAAAGTAATATTAAATTTAAAAAAAATTTTTACTGTTTAATACGGATTCACAATCTCTAGCATTAATGATCTTTTTGCAACTATCTATTCAAGTTACTTTTTGAATTTTTTTATTTTAAAGCCCAAAATCAACCTTGACTCGTCAGGCGATCCGTTCAAAACCACACTTATTCTAGTTGTTTTCATGGTTTTAACTGAATATAGGCTCTCCGAATTACAACTCATTGGCGTCCTGACCGCCTAGTTAACATTCGATAATTAAAAATCGTCTATTATGCTATTTAGAATTACATATTAATTAAACATCTAATTACTGTACAGAAATAGAATTAAGGTAAATTTGATTATGAGGAAAAAGAAGAGTAAAAAAAAATCATCCGACCACTCTTTTCTTCAAAACTCTTTTCGTGGCTCCTATCTAATCCGTAAAGTTTTTATTTGTCAAAGTGAGCCATACAAATACTTAAACGGGAGGCCAAACTGCCTGCAAGACATCAGCGACGACATCACCAGGGGTCGGTATCTTTGGTGCAAGTTTTCTTGCTCTTAATAATGTCGTTAAGTTTGTCCCATACATGATACTTTTGTCATCTTTGACGTCTCTTAGTATCAACCGATGCGAAAATACCTTTTCACTTGCAAACAATACGAGTTCTGGAGTCGCATATTTTCGCTGGAATATGGCTGCCAAAGCCCTGGTTTAAATAATAATAACGTGAATTTGTTATCGTAATTCTGTTACTAGGTTTAAAAAGTAAAGCAGTAAATACCTACTTGACAAGTGTCCCCAAGTCACTTGATGCTCGAGCAGTTAAACCACCCTTGACTAAACGATGCGTACGCAAGCCAACAACCACGTCCCTCATGTAACGTTGCATGTCATTATGTACTGTAACTTGATCCATCCTTCTGGATAACTCATCAATTTCCTAAAGGACAGTATCACCTTTAATATTTGAAAATAAAAAATCTTGAAGAATACAAAATTTGAATACCGCTGATTTGATCATTGAATTTTTTCGATTAGGAACCATCGGAGACTTTCCAACATCAAGTATTCCTTCATACGTATAACTAATAAAAAATCGATCGATCTTGGAAGTATGAATATTCTCTTTCAGAATCTTATACAAAGTAGGGTGCAGTCAAATGGTCATTCTTTTATATTACCAAGAAATTGGGTAAGTTGGCTCTCGAGGACGTTATCGGTAGCAATGCAATCATAATAAATGGGTTTTGTAAGTTATAAATGGTCGATCTATCAATAATTTGCTTTTTGATCAAGATCTAGAAGAAAGCAAAAAAGGTAAAAAGTAAAGGGTGAGCAACTTTATATTTACCCCCATCAAAAATAAATACATTAATCACCTCTTCCATTATAAATGCATATATAACTTCGTTTGCATCGGTCAAATCTTCAATTATTATAACTTGGGCCAACTTTCGTGATAGTGAGATGTATGGGGAATGAGATTCATAACTGCTTGCGGCAACGCTTTCGTGTTTTTTCTTGGTAAATGTGTAATCGCTTGGAGTTGCCGGAGATTGGGTTTGCGGAATGAAGTGCGAATGAAATGCATTTTTTCTAGGTGATCCAGTAAATCCAGTCGTATTGATGCTAAGATTAGGACGCGACTTCTCGGGAATATCTATAGGTTCACTTGTTATTGTATTCTTTCGGTATGTTTGGGGGCTTGGCGGCCTAGCCGATGTGAATGCCGACTCCCTTGGACTTTCAGCGACCCGAACACGTTCTTTGAACTAATCCGATAAGCATTAATGACGCATAATATAATAGAAAAACATGAGAATAGGAAGGAACCCTTTACCTTCCTAAAACTACCCTCTCCAGAATCAGCATTCATTGTTTCTGCGTTATCATTATAATGTCCCAAAATGATATGAGAATCATCAGTTAAGTTCGAAAGGTTCGATCGACGTTGTAACCTCTTGATGTCATGCTTTCGTTCATTGGATTTCGTTGAATTTATTGTCTTTAAAGATCTAGTTGACTTTTGCGGTCTTAATCGACTCAATGTATCCTCGGAGTGTCCAATATAATTAAGGTTATCATCTCTTGGCCTGGTAAAGAGATTGGATATGAAGTCTGCCGTTGTCTGCGAGGCATCGCAAGTAACAGTGGAACACGTTAATCCGAAGATGTGGTGAAATATCTAAATGCACAAAAAGTAAAGCAATTATTGCTATTGTCAAAGTTGCCACAAATTGATTTGTAACGAAAATTACTTGTTCGAGCATAGTTCGAAGTTCATCCATGTTCTCTTGTTTGCAGAACAATATTAGATGCTTGTCTCCTGAAATTAAGCAAATCAGTATCGAAATCAAGACATCGTCGGAGAATTGCAGCCCAGTGGTTCTTTTAATATTCTGGAGTTTTATCTTTAACCAGTTTCTGGTTGACGGTATCTCGGAATGCATAGTTATTAAAAGAACACGCATCGAAAAGATATACGCACGTGCACATTTTATTCAAATTGCTGATTTACATATGTATTATGTAATAATTTAATTAAAAAAAAAAAAAGGAATGGCAATAGCGCGTCATCCCACATGATACGAAGATGCGAGAAAGTGACACAGTCGCAAAACCTGCTTAGTATACAGTTACACATGTTGCATTAAATTCAAATACGTAAATTTTTGGCTCGGCAAGTTGAGCGGAAACAGACGGAAGAGAAAATGGGGAGGCATTCTTTCCCCGTCCTGAACCAACAGTTTCTTGTAGATGAAAAATATCAGTTTATTCGGGAGCTTGGACAGGGAGCGTACGGAGTTGTGTGGTAAGCTTAAGTCCCTTCGTACATTCTTTCGAATGCACTTGCATAAAACAGCAGCTATTTGGAATTACTAATGTTTGTCATGAATGCCTTCTATCGAACATATCGCTCCATATCTAAATAATGCACTCTTTCATTTGTTCGACCTTTTATACCGATTTAATTCGTAATTATTCTGTTTTTTGTCATTCCTTTGTTCCTTCTTTCAGTGCAGCACGCAATATACTGACCGGAGAAGGAGTAGCAATCAAGAAAGTGACCAATGTGTTTAACAAAACTATTCTTACGAAACGCGCTTTGCGTGAAGTAAAGTTGTTACAACACTTTAGAGGACACAAAAATGTAAGGACAGCGTAAATTTGAATTAAATTTATTTTTTTTCTTTCTAGATGCATGACAACGAAAGCCAACGCGTTCGTGTTCTCATTCTCCGTCAATTTGAGTTTTATATTAACAAACTTTATACCATACAGATCACGTGTCTTTATGACATGGACATTATTAACCCTACCGACTACAATGAGATGTAATGCCTATTTCTCTTATTTTAATTTAAAATCAGTCAACTACTTTCTGAAATTACCATTGCATAATTTTATATCAAGATACCTCTACGAAGAATTGATGGAAGCCGATCTCCACGCAATCATTCGTTCCGGACAGCCGCTCACGGACGCCCATTATCAAAGTTTCACTTATCAGATCTTAAGCGGATTAAAATACATCCATTCGGCAAATGTTTTGCATAGAGATTTGAAACCTGGTCAGTTAAATCAACGAAAGAGAGCGTGCATTGACGCCGGAAGTCATAATATGGGCTTTGGATTTTTTTTTTTTTTTAAAAGAGTGTGAGAGAAACATTGCACTAAAGTTCGTTGAACTCATGTAGGAAATCTCCTTGTAAATGCTGATTGTGAGCTCAAGATCTGTGATTTTGGACTTGCTCGGGGGTTCTCAGAAGATCCTGCGGCAAATTCCGGTTTTATGACTGAATACGTTGCCACTAGATGGTATAGGGCTCCTGAGATCATGCTCAGCTTTCAGAGTTATACAAAGGCCAGTAAGTACCTTTTATTTTTTTTAATAATTTATCCGTGGATACGAGAATTAATGTCAAACTCTGTCTCAAATTTTTCAGTTGACTTATGGTCCGTGGGGTGTATTTTGGCAGAATTGTTGGGCGGCAGACCTTTATTTAAAGGCAGAGATTGTATCCTCTCTTTTCTTTATTTTTTCCTTTTTATTTCTTTTTTACTTTAGCGAGATTGGTTCTCCTTAACAGACAGAATTCTGACACAAATTACTATAAAGATGTTGATCAGTTGAACCAAATCCTTCAAACTTTGGGAACTCCTAGTGACGCCACTTTAACAAGAATAGGAAGTCCAAGGGTGAGTTTTCACCATGTCTCGAGCCAATTAATTAAATTGTAAATAAGTAACATTGATTTTAATTTAACTTTTTAGGCACAAGAATACATTCGTAACTTGCCTTACATGCATAAGAAAACTTTTCAACAATTGTTTCCGGGCGCCAATCACCTAGGTTTGTTCTAGTAAATATTTCGGTATATTGTGGTGCAAAATAATAACATAACGATCATGTTCTAAAATTTTATATAAAAGCGCTCGATTTACTAGAGCGACTTTTAACTTTTGATCCCGCTCAGCGTATAACAGTCGAAGAAGCATTGGAACATCCGTACTTGGCAGTTTGGCACGATCCCAATGATGAGGTTTGTAATCGACATAAGTCCGTGATCAACTCAATTATTTTCTACTGACTACATCGGTCGATTAATTGCAGCCTACCTGTTCCGAACCATTCGATTTTTCTTTTGAATCTGTAGATGATCCCGATCAAATGAGAGGTGAGTTGCACCTTTAAGAGAAAATAAATTAGCATCCCCTTTTTTTATTACCGTGACTCAACTTCCGGTCAAATTGATCGAATCAATGAACAGTGATGATTGCACAAGAAGTTTCAACTTTTCGTGCGTTGGTCCGACGTCAGCATGTACCGCAACTTAGTGTCGCCACGGGAAGGACAAACACATCATCCGGCTTGTCTAAGATTCCTGATCGTGACACCATCCTTAATTCCCCCACCGTGGTACGTGGTGATGTAAATGCACTTGCTGCAGATCACTATCAGGCATCTTCAATCCACAGAGCTGTCACAAGTGAAGATTTGGAACGGGAATTGAGCGGCGCAATGGATGTGTCCTAAGTTTGACGCAGCAATGAATTTAAAATACAATTATTATTTTGGAAAATATTAGAAAGCATAAGGTTTTTATAATTTTTAATGTGTCGACTATTACATAAATAGATAATTTAGCAAAGGTCTGAAAATTTCAATATATGGACTTTGATATTTACGAATTTCAATGTGGTTAATATCAGCGGAAAATTTTAATCTTTTTATTAAACTTTTTTAATTTTATCTATTCGGTAAGTCTTTTACGAGTGAATTATCATTTGATTTGCCATTACTTTGGTTTCTATTAACTTTATGACATGTTTTCACCTCTTATCTCTTCTTTTCACGTTTAATACCTGATAACCGCATTTGACCAGAATCATGTGCCAATATTTTAATTGTTTAGCAATGTTTTAATCTTTTACACAATTGCATTTCATGCATCCGTATATCAATGGAAAAAAGGGTTCTTTTCAAAAAGTAAATTTCAGAAATATTATTGATTATAAAAATATTTTGTCTAATTATGGTTTTAAATTAATGGATTTTATTGATTTATTAATTTATGAATTTCAATTTTTGTTTTGAATTTTTTTAAATTGTATATCATATCTTTAATAAAGTTTATAGAATATTTTATTTATTTATTTTTTTTTTTTTGAGTACCCGTAGCCAGGCTAGATCATCAGTTTATTAATCAATTGAAAACAAAAGTACATTTTCATTTGAGCAGCATAATACATACTACAG